CTGGCTTCTGAATTCTCCTTGTTACTGGAGCACATTCTGCTTCAAATCTCTCTCATCTATATTTAGGCAATTTAAAGATCGTGCACGGCCTTTCAACCAGCCTGCAGCTTTCCTAATTGAGAATGGATAATACGCAGGATTCAGAATGAATTTTTAAGAAAGGTTTAGAAATTCAGAAGCACAGCTTAAGTCAAGCAAAACCCAGATAATGATGATAAAGTTGGAAGGGACCTCGGAGGTCATCTAATCCAACCCCCTGCTCAGGCAGGAAACCCTATACCATTTCGGACAAATGGCTGTCCAGTCTCTTCTTAAAAACTTCCAGTGTTGGCGCATTCACCGCTTCTGGAGGCAGGTTGTTCCACTGGTTAATTGTTCTAACTGTCAGGAAGTTTCTCCTTAGTTCTAGGTTGCTTCTCCCCTTGATTAGTTTCCATCCGTTGCTTCTTGTCCTGCTTTCAGGCACTTTGGAGAATAGCTTGACTCCCTCTTCTTTGTGGCAGCCCCTGAGATACTGGAACACTGCTATCATGTCCCCCCTTGTCCTTCTGTTCATTAAACTAGACTTACCCAATTCCAGCAGCCGTTCCTTATATGTTTTAGCCTCCAGTCCCCTGATCATCTTTGTTGCTCTTCTCTGTACTCTTTCTAGAGTCTAGAGTTTAGGGATTAATGGAGTAGCTCGTGGCTATTACGAAACCCAAAGATTTCTTGTATTATTTAATGTTAAGGAAGGGCATGTGACAGGTTGAGAACTTGGGTCTGCAAGAACTCAGCTGAAGCAAAGCAGGAGAAACCTGTGAGATGAAAGCTCCTTCTCAATTCCAAGAGAGCTTTTCCCAGTCAAAGAGGTAGCAGTGAGCTGTAATAACAAACAAGCAAAAAGCAAAACAGATACTATCTTTTTTTCAGCTGAGCTAGAGAGAGGCACCGTCATCAATCTCAACTCTGCCTTTCATAAGTCTTATTTAAATCAGCTTTTTTTCTTTAGAACCCTGTCGGGAGTCCTATTTCATTCTGGGCAAGAGAAGCCTGGCCCTATAATTGACTAAATCAGCTTGGCCATGCGCACAACCATCGTTAGAAGGCAGATTCGTATTACAACTGTGCAGATCTCAAGTTAAAAGACAAAATCTGAATTCAGGGCACACACAGGTCCTTGTGTATCAGGGTCACCTTATGCTAAATGTCTTCCTTCTCACAATTACACAGCAGCAGGGGTGGGCAATCACATCAGTCCAGGGCAAAGTGCAAATGCTTTAATGTATCCCAGCAGGCGTTGTATGTGCGTGGCAAACACAGAATTTGCAATTTGAGTTCATCTTTGCACAGCCGTCCTTCATACACGTAAAACCAAGGTTATGCTGTTCACCGTTTTAAGTATTTTTTTTCTTTCATAAAGCAGGAACAGGTTGGAAACCAAAGAAATACAATAGATGTGCCTGAGTGTTTCCATAGGGCCTCTTAAGAGTTGACGTTTTCCCACAGACTATCTAGTGCAGCGGTTCTCAACCTATGGGTCGCGACCCTATTTGGGGTCGATCGACCATTTCACGGGGGTCGCCAAGCAAGGCTGTCCGCCATTTTTTTGTCCGCCATTTTTTTCCCCTTTTCCGGCGGGTGCCTTACCTCCCTTGGGCTGGGCCAGCTGGTGGTCGGCCTGCTCCGTCTCTGCCGCTTGCCAGCTACGCCTCGGCCGGCGCAGGGGGCGGAACCACGCATGCGCGGTGCTCCCAGGCAGGGAAAGTCCTTGACTTATGACCGGTTGGGTAGTCCTCGACTTAACCGGTTTAGTCCTCGACTTATGACCGGTTTAGTCCTCGACTTACGACCGGTTGGGGGTCGCGGCATTAAAACGGTTGAGAACCACTGATCTAGTGTGAGGCAGTTTATAAATCTTACAAATAAATTAAAACCAAATAAATACTTTCAAACACCAGGTATCAATCCCGAAGCCCAATTTTTCAAAAGGAATTTGCTTGAAAATAAAGCTGGGATGGTTCTTGGATATGCAATCAAAGTTTAAATACTTCTGACAGGTTTACATCATCAGCCACGCTGGGGTTTGTCTTTGGTATTTATTTTTGTGCAATGCAAATGTAAGCGATATCGCAAAAGGTCTTAGTTATATGCAGAACAGTCTTCCAAAATTTGATGCCCTTCAAGACGTTTTGGGCCCCAATTCCCATCTCTGCCAGCCCATAATGTTTGGAAATGATGGGAAGTATAGTCTCCCAGATCTAGAGGGGGCACGAATTGGGAGAATGCTGAATTGAGCTACTGTTCATTTTTATATAAAAAAAACCCCTTGTCCTCTCCATTTTATTTACTTTAAAAAAAATTGATGGGTTAATAATAGACTTAAGAATCAAAAGAGGAACATTTTCACGCTTTTAGAAAAATAAAATGATGTTTTTTTTCTCCTTTCTTAGTTATATTCTGGAAACTCAAACTTTGTTTTGAATTTTCTCCTCCCCAAAGAATCCTGTACTCTCTCACAGCTCAATATCTGGGGTGGGGAATGGAAAAAATAAATTCAGGTGGATGCTCCAGTTCAGGGAATATTTTGCGATCTGATGAATAGAGGCCTTTTCAGAGAGATGAGTTGATATATTAAGAAGATTGATATGGCTTCTCCAGTAGGAGTTTGCAATATATTGCCAGCTGAAGGTCGCACTTGGCCTTTTAGCGCTAAGACTAGGTCAGGCCTCCAAGACAGATGGTGCCAGTCCAAGACCTGGGTGAAGCCAGCACAAAATTTAAATCATCTCTAATTAAAAGTAAAATGAGAGAAACGTCCCATTTCTCTCGTATTAAAATGGCAATCTGGCGGTAAACCACTGGAGCCCTGTTTTCCTGAGCCTTATTCTCAACCTCTGGAGAGGGGCTGAATTCCAGCATGCAGGGTGAAAGCGGGAGGCCTAGACTAGCAATGCTGAGCAGAAGACGGAAGCCATTCATTTGGGGAATGGGCAAATCCACTGGCCAGAACAAGTGAAATATTACAAATTGTAAAGGAAACGCAGCTCTCCAGATCTTCCTACCAGGAACAGCTGAACCTCTCCTGGTTGCTGTTAATTTCGCTACGGCGCCGGCACTTGTAACCCCTCCTCCCCGTATCCCCCGCCAAAGGGTATGACTGACGACGAGGAAAGAAGGAACAAATAACGATTAAATACAGTATTTATACAGTATACTATATATATATGTATATATATATATGTACACTCATACAAACATTTTGTACATTAAACAGAATGAACTCTAGTCGTGCGGTTGAGTTTGATTCTCTTTCTTCCACTCAATTCTGCCTCTTCCTCCCCAAAAACCTCAGAAACGGACAGGCCCAAAGTCTGACCAGTTAGAAGAGTCTTCGGTGACCGATCTCCGATCTGGGTAGAGAATTGGCACACTGCCAAGAACTCAACTAATCTATTGCACAGGAATTGGTCATCCTCACTGGGGGAAGGGGAAGCACTGGCCTGCCATTTTCCAAATATATTTTTTTAAAATTTCCAAACCCAGCCCTGGGCAGTCCACTTGCACCCCGGACAGATCTGCCCTCAGCCTCTCTCTGTCTCCTGAGGTTACCTCTCCCAAAGATTTGATTCTTGCTCAGGAGGTCATAGAGGGGAGTGGTGGGGGGTCAGGAACCCAGGGGTCTGCTCAGCTTCCTACTGCTCAAACCCAGCCCCCCCAATCAGTCCTCCCCCTGGCCAGATTTGGGGAAGTCTAGAGAAGGCACTCGGGAACACCGTTCCAAAGCCAACCTACGAAAACTGGCTGCCAAATGGCTGCTCCCAGTTGATAGAAAGCAGCTTGATTCTGGAAAGGAAGAACGGCGAATCCTGTAGTGGTCATGCTGGGGGAGGCAATTCCCTCGGTGCATGCGAAGGCGTCGGGCTGAAATCCTATCAACTGGACAATGCAATCACCCTCATTTAAGTGCATAAGCAGCAGCTAATGGGAACTCTTCAGATGAACTGACAAAAAGAAAAACTCACTTTTCAGCCATTCCTCTGGCTCTAAGGCAAGGGGTCTTCAAACTTGGCCCTTTTATGACTTGTGGACTTCGACTCCCAGAATTCCTCAGCCAGGCACGCGTGCCTGGCTGAGGAATTCTGGGAGTCGAAGTCCACAAGTCATAAAAGGGCCAAGTCTGAAGACCCCTTGCTCAGTCTAAGGCAGTGTTTCTCAACCTTGGCAACTTTAAGACAATGCGGACTTCAACTCCCAGAATTCCCCAGCCAGCAGAATTCTGGGAGTTGAAGTCCACAGGTCTTAAAAGTTGCCAAGGCTGAGAAACACTGCTCTAATGCATCACTGTCAGTCCATTTTTTTTTTTGGCTCCTCTTTTTTTAAACTCTTTAAGTGCAATTCTCTGCTTGGCATTTGAAAGCGTTAACTCCACACCAACTCAGAACTGTCGTAAGCCTCTCTGTCCATCCAGCCATCTCACACGAGTGCAAAGGGGCCACCACCTCAGCGTTCCCGTTTTTGCCCGTCACTGGACTCTTCCCACTTGGAGCGGGTGGGGAAAACAATCTGAGGTAATCAAAACGGCAAAGAAAGCTAAGGCTCCAATCTTTTCCTCAGGGTAGGCCTCCACGGTTGCGTGAAGAAAAGGATCTGGGTTGAAGGATGGGGAACGTGGGGGGGGGCAGAAATGGGACAAGATACTTCCCCCCTCCCAAGCCTGTCGTATTACTTAAATAATCTTCTACAACCCTCTTTAGACAAAAATGAGAGAAATTAACATGGCGTTTATAGATGCAGTCCAAACGATACAAAGGATTTTTTTTTTTTTTAAAGGACTCAATTATTTAAGACCTCTCAAATAACAATTCCCGTGGATAATCCTGGAGCCAGTTCATGCCAACTTTCCATGCTGCGCCTTCTGCTCGAGGATCCATTTTTCTTTATAATCGCACCGGCCACCCGCCCAATTCCGAGTTGCATCCAAAAGATTTTTGTCATGATACCCATTTCCCCCCACCCTCCCCCGGCGTTTCTAAGCACCCTTTCAGACAAAACTGAATGCAAACAACAAGGGTCTAAATGCAAAAATTAAGATCTCCAGCAGATACCAAGAGGGAGTCCCATGATTCCATGCAGTCTGGGAAATTGGAGAGTGGGGGTGGAGATGAGAAACTGGGTCTTAACGCAATTCACTGAGAGAGAGATGCAGAAACCGCTTCTTGCAAAAAGAGTCGGATTCCGATGCAGGGACTGACATCTACAATCGCTTCCCCCTCTTTTTTATTCAGCTTTTTTTTTCCTTTCCTGATACCTGGAAGGTGGGAGGAGAAGAGCACTCTCTCTCTCTTCATCTTACATTCTAGCTCTGCCTCTTTCTTCTCTAAGAGGAACTTGATACGGAGGACAAATTATGCAGTCAGAAAGCCATCCGGTCTCCTACAGAGTCAGGAGTTCCGGAGAAGCAGCAGCTTTGCGGGGATCAGGAGATCGTACTTTCTGGGGACAGCAGCGTGGGATCTTTCTCGGCAAGATCTTCAGATGCCGGACTCAGGAGCCCCCTGAAAGCTGAATCTTGCGAGGAGTCCGTCTTCAGAGGCTCGGCTCGGCCCGGTGAACTCTCCGAGGGCTGGGGAGTACCTTCCAGCTCTGAATGGGCCGTAGCAGGAGGTGTATTGGTCACAGAAGTCCCAACGGGTGACGTGGGCTCAATAGTAGCAGAGCCCACTTCCGTACGGTCACTACTAAACAAACTTTGGGTCATCGTGTTCGGAGCGGGCTCCGGGTCCTGCAAAGTCCCGCCACCAGTCCCCACTGCTGGAGTGGCCCTGGAGTCCAAGAAAGAACTGCCCAGGTTGGACAGAAAGGAGGCCTCTGTGATGACAGCTGCTGTCTCTGCCACCCAATTCAAGTCATTCCCCAGGGAGACGCCAGGGCTGGAGGCCGGGGGAATGTGGCCTTCTCCGGAAGCCAGGAAGCCATCTCCTGCCCCAGCCGTGCTGGCGTCCAGGTGGGGCTGCTGCTCGGCCGAATTGGTTGCCGCAACAGTGGTGTTGTTGTTGAGGTTGTCCTGGAGAGCGGTCTGGGTCCCCACCTGCTGGTTCTGGAGCAGCATCTCCTGGATCCGGATCTGTTGGAGGATGGCTGGCAACTCGTAGTGGTGGAAAAAATAGATCATGGAATGCTGCCAGGGAGGGGAGGGGGGGGAAGAGAGGAGCAAGAGGAAAGAAACGCCTTAATGACTGGGCTGAGCAAGAACGTTCTCCCCTCTCCCCCCCAAAAAAAATAATAATAATAATGTGTAAATCAATTGCACCTCCTCAAGCTTTAAAGAGAACCAGTATGGTGTGGTGGTGAAGGTGCCAGGCTAGAAACTGGGAGAGAAGGAGTTCTAGTTCTTCCTTAGCCTAGAAAGCCAGCTAAGTGCTTTCTTAAGAGGCCTGTTGACAGAATGGTTAGAACAGTGTTTCTCAACCTTGACAATTTTAAGGCATGTGGACTTCAACTCCCAGAATTCCACAGCCAGCATTGCTGGCTGTGGAATTCTGGGAGTTGAAGTCCACATGCCTTAAAATTGTCAAGGTTGAGAAACACTGGGTTAGAAGGAAGTACGGGCAGGCTAACTCTGCCCACGGCCAGCGGTTCGATCCTGATCGGCTCAAAGTTGACTCAGCCTTCCATCCTTCCGAGGTTGGTAAAATGAGGACCCCAGATCGTTGGGGGGCAAGAGGCTGACTCTGTAAAACTGCTTAGAGCAGAGGTCTCCAACCTTTGGGGCACCAGGGATTGGTTACGCGGAGAGAGGTTTTTCCACGGATCGGAGGGGGCGTGGTTTTGTGTGTTGCCTGCATCCCGCGGATGGGGCTTTGCTTGTTTGTGCGGACCGGTTGCTGGCATGCCACAGCCCAGTATCGGTCCACGGACCCGGGGTTGGGGACCCCTGGCTTAGAGAGTGCTGTAAAGCAATGTTCCTCAACCTTGGTGACTTGAAGATGGGTGGACTTCAACTCCCAGAATTCTGGGAGTTGAAGTCCACCCATCTTCAAGTCACCAATGTTGAGGACACACTGCTGTAAAGTACTGTGCAGCGGTATATAAGTCTAAATGCTATTGCTAAGTGACTTTGGATTAGTTAGTCCCTCTCTTTCAGCTCAGCCCATCTCAAAGGGCTGTCCTCTTGGGAAAATAACAAGTAGGAGCGTTACATGTGCCTCCTTGAGTTGTGGAAAATGAAGATGGGAATCACACTGCCATCCACGTAACTCAGAGGCTGTTAAGAAAGGCCAAATTCCCTACGCTGCATGAAATATACCATCAGTTGACCGTATGAAACATGCCCATTTCTGCTCCAACTCCATTAAAAGCAGCTGGTGAAGACCGAGTGGGATCCGTGCCAGCAAAATGAGACCACCAGCCTGCAATCCTAACCATCTTTCCTGAATTCCCCCGCCAGCTGTTCTTTTGGCCTTGCGGTGGTTCCCCAAAAGAAAGCAGCACAGCCAAATTTTTTGGTTAAGATGGGGCAAATTGTTGCCAGAATATTCTCTACCAACTACCCCTGCCTTGCCTTTTTTGTTCAGATAAAATATAGATTTTTATCTTTTACCAGGGTCTAGGTATTCGGGAAGACACAATGATACCCTGGATAATTTCTGAGCTTTCAAATATACGTTATTTGCATACAGGTAGTCCTCGACTTACAACAGTTCATTTAGTGACCGTTCAAAGTTACAACTGCCCTGAAAAATGTGCCTTATGAACCATTTTTCACAGTTACGAACTTTGCGGCATTCCCATGTGATCAAAATTCAGATGCTTGGCAACTGATTCCTATTTATGACCGTTGCTGTGTCCCAAGGTCATGTGATCACTTTTTGCGAGCTTCTGACAAGCAAAGTCAATGGGGAAGCCAGATTCAACCGGGTTACTAACTTATTAACAACTGTGGCAAGAAAAGTTGTAAAATGGGACAAAACTTACCGAACAAATGTCTCACTTAACAACGGAAATTTTGGGCTTCGTTGTGGTTGTAAGTCGAGGACTATCTGTACTTGAAAGCAAAAGAACTAGAAACTTGGCAAACAACACTGTTTGAAATAGTATTTTCTCAGGAAGGCCAAAGTCTAGAATGGTTCTCTCTTTTGAAGTCTGTTAGGATTTGGGGGTTCACACAATGCCGTAAGAACTACGGTTAGAGCCAGCAGCGTACCTGTATGAAAAGCCACGAAGTTACCAAGGCTAAACTGCTATATTGCCCATTGAAACGATAATGGTAGGCATAAAAGGCAAAGTGGTACAAGTAGAAAAACCTGGAGAGAAAAGGAAATATAAATATGCACGCACACACATTTACACGCAATACTGACACAGTCCAGTTTGCCTCCATCCTTCCTTTTTGAACATAAAAGGGTTGTATTTTTTCCCCCCTTCGTTTCAAAGGAAATGTGTAAAAGTGAACCGATGAGAAACAGCCCATGTGCTGTAATCAGTGAGGGAGGATAATCAGGGAAGGGAAAGGGCAACGATGCCACTGTGAGGTCGAAGTGGTTGGGAGAAGATGCCGGAGTGTCAGGGGTTTAAGGCAGGGGTCTTCAAACTTGGCCCTTTTACGACTTGTGGACTTCAACTCCCAGAATCCCTCAGACAGGCATGCTGGCCGAGGAATTCTGGGAGTTGAAGTCCACAAGTCGTAAAAGGGCCAAGTTGGAAGACCCCTGGTTTAAGGAGTCAAACTTATATATTAACCAGAATATCAAGAGGTCTCCAATCTGAAAAAAAATGAGCTCAACGCCTGACACTACAGACAGACAATCCGACAGGCAAGGTGGAGGCAGCTGAATATCTAAGTCAGTGTTTCTCAACCTTGACAATTTTAAGGCATGTGGACTTCAACTCCCAGAATTCCATAGCCAGCATTGCTGGCTGTGGAATTCTGGGAGTTGAAGTCCACATGCCTTAAAATTGTCAAGGTTGAGAAACACTGATCTAAGTGCTGCTCTAAATTGGGGGTGGACATTCTATGATTCCTTATGTTGCTTTTCTGAAAAATCTTAAAAGCCGCTTTGGTCTAGTGCAGGGGTAGGCAACCTTGGCTCTTTTATGACTCGTGGACTTCAACTCCCAGAATTTCTGAGCCAGCCATGCTGAGGGGACAGGGAGAGGTTTCCAAGCTGAGCCATGCTGGCTCAGGAATTCTGGGACTTGAAGTCCACGAGTCATAAAAGAGCCAAGGTTGTCTACCCCTGGTCTAGTGGTTAAGGGACCAGGCTAAAAACCAGGAGACCATGAGTTATAGTCCCTCATTAGACCTGAAAGCTGGCTGGGTGACTTTGGGCCAATCTCCAGGAGACGGTGAGTTCTAGTTCTGCCTTAGACATTGAAAACTGGCCGGGTGACTTTGGGCTAGTCACTTTCTCTCAACCCAGCGTACTTCACAGAATTGTTACTAGGGGGAAAATAGGAGTAGGAAGGAGTATTAGGTGTATTTGTTGCCTTGAGCTATTTAAAAAATAATAAAGGTGGGATTTAAAAAAAACCTTTTAGGAAAGCCCTTAGGCACAATAGATTGTCTATTCTGCCCATTCTGACTCCTCCAAAAATGTTTAAAAGCCCCCCCCCTGCCTTGCTTCCCAAAGGTTGCCCATCTCTGGTCCAGGGACTCCCCTGGCCTCTCCTGGCCTGAGTCAAGTCCCAGGTTCGTACCTCAACCAGTGCCTCTTGCTCGTGTTGGTATGGCAGCAAATTGCGTCGTACTGGTCGGCCAGCCACACAATGAGGATGATGTAGAAGGCCGTGGTGGTGTCATTGAAGAACTCGGACATGATGGCCTCCATGCCTGTTTTGAAAGGGAAGAAAAGGAAGAGAACATCGACACGCTGTCTGAGAGGTTCTCGCCCTCCATATTTCTCAACTCAAAGGTGAGGCCTCCTTGCACCAGTGAAACCTTTGCAACACAGAGACTGGCTTGAAATCCACAGACTGAGCTCTGCGTAACTTGCAGAAAACTGGAAGCTCTGCATTCATCTTTAAGGAGAAATGTCTCCAGTCCTTCGGAAGATATTTCTTCAATGTGATGGGTTGAGGCAGTTGACATCTCCAAAAGCAGACAGGCAGTTGAAGGATCCTTCAGTAGGCTGGAAAAGGTGTGTGTGTGTGTGTGTGTGTGTGTGTGTGTGTGTGTGTGTGTGTGTGTGTGTGTGTGTTCTACAGCAGTCTTCTTAACTCTGGAGACTTGAAGTTGTGTGGACTTTAACTCCCAGAATTCCCAAGTCAGCAATTCTGGGAACTGAAGTCCACACATCTTCAAGTGGCCAAGGTTGAGAAACACTGTTCTATAGTCAGCTGTCAATTAAATATTAAATAACAAATAAATAAGCAGAACCAAGGAAAGACTGACTGGCAAAGTGGTGGGTTACTTCCAGCCAATAGGGGTTATCTGCCCCTTCCCCCACCAATGTTGTTTCTTTCTGAGGTGGTCTCCTTACCTACTAAAGCTAAGATGACGGTCAGCAAAGGAGCTGCGGGGAAGGCGATTGTCATGTTCATTTCCAGCATCTGTAACAGGTCCACTGGAAAGGGGAAAGGTAGCAACATTCAAAAGACAGCAGTCAGGCAAGAGACTAGTTCATTTTTCTTGGCCTATGGCAGAGGTAGGCAACCTTAGCTCTTTTATGACTCGTGGACTTCAACTCCCAGAATTCCTGAGCCAGCCATGCTGAGGGGAAAGGGAGAGGTTTCCAAGCTGAGCCATGCTGGCTCAGGAATTCTGGGAGTTGAAGTCCACGAGTCATAAAAGAGCCAAGGTTCCCCACCCCTGGCCTATGGGATGATCCGGGAACATAGCCTATGACCACAAGTCAAATGGGGTCCCAGGTAAAAGAATTTAGAGAAGCACTGCTGAGCAGAGTTAAGAATATAGGGCACAGCTGTCCCATCCAGATGTGCTGAGCTATAGTCCCCTATTCCCAAGTTCAAGGCATGTAACTAACCACTTAGTGGTAGGGTAGAGGCTCTACAGGTCAAAGCCAATGTATATTCCAGAATATATTCCAGAACATACACTGCCAAGATTCTAACCGAATGTCTTAGAAAGCAACGTCTGATTTCAGGTGCCTGACTAAGAAGCCATCATTCGGCATTAACAAGGAAAAAAATATCTCAATTTCAGCATCTCCTACTTCAGGGTTTCTCAACCTTGGCAACTGGAAGGTGTATGGACTTCAATTCCCAGCATGCCCCAGCTAGCCAGAATTCCCCAGCCAGCTCAGTAAAGTAGGACAGCGTTTCTCAACCTAATCAACTTGAAGATGTATGGACTTCAACTCCCAGCATTCCCCAGCCAGCTCATTTAGCTGGAATGCTGGGAGTTGAAGTCCACACATCTTCAAGTTGATTAGGTTGAGAAACGCTGTCCTACTTTACAAATAGTCCTTGACTTAAAACCATTTGTTCAGTGACGGAAGTTACAACGCCACTGGGGGGAAAAAAGGGGACTTATAATTGCGATTACAATCACTGCAGCGTCCCCACAACCACATGTTCAAAATTCAAGCACTTGACAACCAGCTTCTGTTTTTACAATGGTTGTAGCATCCCAGGGTCACGTGACTGCCATTTGTGACCTTCCCAGCTGACTTCCAACAAATAAAGTCAACTGGGGGAAGCTCGAGTTGCTTAACAGCTATGTGATCCACTTAACAACTGCAGTGATCTCCTGAACAACCGTAGCCAAAAAAAGGTCATAAAATCAGACACGGCTCACTTCATAATTCCACTGCATAGCATTGGAAATTCTGACCCCCAATTGTGGTCATAAGTCAAGGACTATCTGTATAAAAGTCTGCTTATAAACATTAGCTGCAGTCTTTCTAGAGCCGCTTAAGGCTGATGCTCTTGGTCCAATGCAACCTTACTCCCTGCTAGAAAATTAAATTTCCATCACTAAAGAGGGTTCCAGCCAATAAAAACAGCCAGCTGCTATCTAATACCAGGATGCCAAAATGATGAGTCACTCAAGGATGAACAAACAACGAAATACTTCTCGCTGTGCTGTTCAAGACTGCAGATTAAAATAAATCATGGCACGCAGCATACCAGAATACCAGGGAGTAGTTATTTAACATGGATCAGGATGCAAATGGACCAGAGCCGTGTTTAAACCAGGAATGTGCAGGTTTTCAAGGTTGGTAGCTACTCTCAATCTTTGCATGGCGTGCTGAGTAGCAAATGGAACCGTTTTCATTTGAGATGAATTAAGATTAAATGTATCCACTGCACCTAACACAATTACTCCTGTAGTCAGAATAATCACATTCATGGCGTGTAATAAATTTAAATAAGTTCCTCCTTATGTTATATTAAAAACTACGGTCAAGACACTGAACCCGCTCTCGTAATTTGTGGCTTCTCCGTGCTCTCATGCTCCTTCCTAGCCCACCAGGGCGACAGGCACTGCAGAAATTCACACAGCAGGGATTTTTAAAACTTACCGATAAAGACGAAGATCTGGTGATGTGAGTAACGCAGCAGCATGGAAACAGACAGAGTCTGAAAAGAGACAGGCAGGTAAACATTAGAGCATTAAAGCCCCAAAGCCAACGATGAAAAGCGGAGAAGCGTTTCTCATAGATTCTGATGGTTGAAAAAAAAATCAACTCTCTGGAAGGAAAATTAATTTGTCCAGAATTAAAATTAAAAGCACAATTCGCTTAAACCGCTCCAAAGTTTTGTTCTTAGTGTGTTGACAGAAGTGGGTTACTATCCTCGGAAAAACTTCCCAGATCCACCTGTGTTCTTCCAGGTAGGAAGCATTATGTCTACAAGGGATCTCAAATACTAACTGGGCAAGTCATTTGCACGACTGACAAATGTCACTAAAACCTGATTGACGAGGCAAGTGCAGGCTGGTAAGTACAGAGGAAGAAACAGGCTCTAGGTCAGGGGTAGGCAACCTTGGCTCTTTTATGACTCGTGGATTTCGACTCCCAGAATTCCTGAGCCAACATGGCTGAGGAATTCTGGGAGCTGAAGTCCACAAGTCATAAAAGGGCCAAGTTTGAAGACCCCTGTCTTAAAGGGACAGGGCACAAGCAACCCAGGTGCTAGCCATTTTGCAGGCAACCGGTCCTCTCACACATTTGAAAGTGGGATTTTAACTCATTAATTAATTAAATTATCTTGGGAAATATATTCACTTGTACAGTATTATTGTAGTGTAAGTCCTCGCCAGGAAATGTTTCAGCTCTTCCATCTTTCAAGGTCTTGTTTTATTTCTTTCCATGTTTTTCCCCCAATTATTTTGGAAACTGTCTTAATCACATCACATCCGATAAAGCCCTAAAGATTTCATTGGGGTTATTTTGTTACATCACAACCGGTCTCTTCTTTCACATAATATTCTCCTTTAGAAGTTGAATGCTTTGTTACTATCTTTGTTTTCTCTCCTCGTTAATTTTGCATCCAGAAAGGCAGCCAAAACCTTTGATTGCTTTTATCGTCTGCCATATACAGTGTTGTGTTTGTGTAACTGTTAAGTGCTAGAATCTGCCTAGTATTTTATCTTGTATTCCTCTCCTTGCTGGTTCAGTTGCTGATAAGAGCCAGAGGCTACAAAACACTTAGAAGAAACACAGTGAATAAAACTGCAGCTGGAAAAATTAAAGCTGAGGTGGGAAAAGATGGCCCCTTTACGACTTGTGGACTTTAACTCCCAGAATTCCTGAGCCAGCATGGCTGGCTCAGGAATTCTGGGAGTTGAAATCCACAAGTCTTAAAAGAGCCATCGTTCCCCACCCCTGAATTAAAGGATAGTGGATAGAGTTTCATACAGAGGATCATTTTCTGATCACAGTAACTGATTTATAGACAACCCTGGTTAAGAATGCCCAAATTAAGGTCAAGCCCAAGATGCAAACAGGCTGCTTTTTACCAAATATCATGTATTACCAAATACCACTATGAAACACTGAAAACCACTGAAAATGGGCACTGGTAAAGCTGCACATTTTTGATATACAGCCTGTTTTCATCCGTCCCTGAAAGCACTGCGTGGCTTCAGTAGTTCATCAGCTTGAGGAAGGACAATGCTGTCCATCATTTTTTAATAACAGGCAGTCCTTTTGTAAGAGTTCTGACTTATATACAAATTCAAGGGTGTTGGATTAGAACAGAGGTCTCCAACCTTTGGGGCACCAGGGACCGGTTCTGTGGAGAGAGGTTTTTCCGCGGACTGGAGGGGGCATGGTTTTGTGTGCTGCCTGCATCCCGCAGGTGGGGCTTTGCTTGTTTGTGCGGCCCGGTTGCTGGCATGCCATGGCCCGGTACTGGTCCACGGACTGGGGGTTGGGGACCCCTGGATTAGAAGACCTCCAAGGTCCTTTCCAACTGTGTCATTCTGTTATTCAAGTTAAAGACACAGTTAGGAACAGAACTAGCTCCTAACCCAGGGACTGCCTGTACATGTAATCCTTGACTTGCAACCACAATTGGGATCAGAATTTCTGTTGCTAAGCAAGGCAGTTGTTAAGCAAGTTTTCTGACCTTTCTGCAACAGTTATTAAGCAAATCACTGCAATTGTTAAATGAATCATGCAGATTTTAAGCCAATCTGCCTTCCTCCATTGACTCTGCTTGTGGGGAAGCTGGCTGGGAAGGTAGCAAATGGCGATCATAGGATCCCAGGGCATTGCAACCATTTTAAGTTTGTGCCAATTGCCTAGCACCCAAATTCTGATCAGGTGACCCTGGGGATGCTGCCACTGTCACTGAACATTTGCTTAAACCAGGGGTAGGCAACCTTGGCTCTTTTATGACTTGTGGACTTCAACTCCCAGTATTCCTAAGCCAGCCATGCTGAGGGGAAAGGGAGAGGTTTCCAAGCTGAGCCATGCTGGCTCAGGAATTCTGGGAGTTGAAGTCCACGAGTCAGAAAAGAGCCAAGGTTGCCTACCCCTGGCTTAAACAGTTGTAAGTTGAGGACTACCTGTATATTATTATATTAACTGAGAGCCATTTTGTAACCATGGCAAAACTGCCTTGAGCAAGGCTGTGGCTGGAATGGAACCCAAAAAACACAACCCAACTTTCTGGTGTCTCCCATATCGGTTGAAAATCCTGGGGACCAAAAACACCAATTCAGGCTGAAGAAAGGAAGAGAGGAAAAACACTCACAAAGATCACCATGATAACGAAGGCCGCTACGTAGGAAGTCCTGGCCATCCACATGCTGATGAAACGATAGTGTTCTCCAGAGACTACGTTGCGAAGGAAACCTGTAGGACCAGTAACAAAAAGGTAGGGGGAAAAAATAACATGAGGAATGGAGGTATTCAATCATTCAACAGTGCTCTACAACAGGGGTCCCCCCAACCTCTGGGCCACGGCCCACTAGTGGGCCGTGAACTATTTGCAACCGGGGCGCGGAAACGGAGTGCGAGCACGTGCATGCGCGAGCATCCCCACACGCGTGAGCAGCAGGCAAACGCGTGCATGGGCACTCCATTTGTGTGAGTGGCGGGTGCGCGTGCACGCAGCTCATGCAAATGGGGCTGCACGTATGCTCGCTTGCCAGAAAGATTCCCCTCTTCCCCCCCACACCCTCACCGGTCCACAAAGCCAGAAAGGTTGAGGAACTCGGCTCTACAAGTTGGATACAGTGGCCCTCTTAAGAAAATTTTCACACAGTCTGGGATATTTGCATGCGATCAGCCCACTCTGCAGCCAAGCTAATTATGACCCAAAGTGATAAAGCCTCCATGGAATGCAAAACATTTACTGTACTATTTTAGAGGAATGTTAATATCGTTTGTGTATGTACACCCACAAACTCCCCAAGATCCTAGGAAGTTTACAAAACAGTAGTCCTCAACTTATGACTGGGTATTTAGCTTTACAAACATTTTTGTTCATTTAATGACTGCCGCAAAAAAAGGCCACAAAATTAGGCACAATCACGTGACAACCTGCCTTACATTCATCGCAACTTGCCAGCAAAATTGCGGACTGACTTACAGTTATAAGTTGAGGACTACCTGTAATTATAGAATCCAATATGAAATCCTCCAAGTATGTGCAAGGAGGGGGGGTGTAAAAAAAAAGCCTTGCCCCTTTTTTTACATGCATGCCACACTTGGCTTTGCATACAAGGTTGTGGCCGCCCCCTATACTTTTTTAACCCTCCCATTCATGGATGCCTCTACTCATCACCCACTAATCCCAAATCAACAATATGGTGCACCACATATTGTGTATTATTATCAGAATACAGTCTCCAAATATACAAATATGTACACACACATATTTACAGCATATTTGAACAAACTCATCCATCTCCTCCCTCCACACACACACACACAGCACCACAATTGCCTCTTTCCCTATAACCTGATAGAGATAAACCTGATCCATAGACTCTTTAAAAAGAATGACTAAAAATCTAGGAAGGAAACAAACTGCCTAGAGTACATTTTCCCCAGCAGCCAACGGGGCAGAGTAGCAGGAAATAGCACCAGATTGAATAATCAGGGAAGAATTAATATTCTAATCAAGAAACTAATGAAGAAGGAGTGCAGGATAACCTGTATAGACAATCAGCAAGCTCCATTCTCCCTTGCACTGATGATGTTACCTAGCCTGATAATGAAACATCTGCAGGAAATCAACCAAACTCAGAAACATCACAAACTCAACAGTTCAATCCTAGGCTACATATATTCTCTTCTATTGAAATATATATATAGTAATAATAAAGTTGGAAGGGATCTTGGAGGTCATCTAGTCCAACCCCCTGCTCAGGCAGGAAGCCCTATACCATTTCAGACAAATGGCTGTCCAGTCTCTTCTTAAAAACTTCCAGTGTTGGAGCATTCACAGTTTCTGGAGGCAGGTTGTTCCATTGGTTAATTGTTCTGTCAGAAAATTTCTCCTTAGTTCTAGGTTGCTTCTCTCTTTGATTAGTTTCCATCCGTTGCTTCTTGTCCTGCCTTCAGGTGCTTTGGAGAATAGCTTGACTCCCTCTTCTATGGGGCAGCCCCTGAGATACTGGAACACTGCTATCACATCACCCCTCGTCCTTCTTTTCATTAAACTAGACCAGGGGTAGGCAACCTTGGCTCTTTTATGACTGGTGGACTTCAACTCCCAGAATTCCTGAGCCAACATGGCTCAGCTTGGAAACCTCTCTTTCCCCTCAGCATGGCTGGCTCAGGAATTCTGGGAGTTGAAGTCCACGAGTCATAAAAGAGCCCAGGTTGCCTACCCCTGAACTAGACATACCCAATTCCAGCAGCCGTTCCTTATATGTTTTAGTCTCCAGTCCCCTGATCATCTTTGTTGCTCTTCTCTGTATTCTTTCTAGAGTCTCAATATCTTTTTTACATCGTGGTGACCAACATATTTAGATGTGTTAAAATAATAAAATAATAACATAAGAGCTGGTTTGGTCTAATGGTTAAAGAGGCTGGTGTAGGAGTCAGGAGTATCATTTCTAATCCTGCTGAGGCCTGGAAGCCAGCTGAGTGATCTTGGGCCACTCCTTCCTTCTCAACCCTCAGGAGACATTTGCAAATCACTATCAAAAATGCTTCCTAGAAAACAGCCTGGCCTTGTCCTGTATTCACCAGGAGTCAGGTCTGACTCAAAGAGACACACACTCAAAACAGTCAGTTGCTCTTCAGCATGATAAACAAAAGGAAAAAAAAAACCATACAGGTAGTCCTCGACTTACAGTAGTTCATTTAGTGACTGTTCAAAGTTACAATGGCATTGAAAAAAAGGGACCTATGACCATTTTTCAGGCTTACAACCGTTGCAGCAACTCCACGGTCACATGTTCAAAATTCGAATGCTTGGCAACTGATTCATCTTTGTGACGGTTGTGGTGTTTCTGGGGTCATGTGATCCCCTTTTGCCTTCAGATTCACTTAGCAACCATTGTCATTACTTTAACAAATGTAGTGATTCACTTAACAACTGGAGCAAGAAAGGTCGTAAAATAAGGCAAAACTCCCTTAACAACTGTTTCACCTAGCAACAGAAATTTTGGGCTCAATTGTGGTAGTAAGTTGAGGACTACCTGTACTTCAAAATCCCATCAGTCAACCACCAATCGCTCTCCCCAAAAGCCACTCAACTTTTTTTTGAGGGGGGGGGGCAGCCTAAGCCAGAGGTAGGCAACCTTGGCTCTTTTATGACTCGTGGACTTCAACTCCCAGAATTCCTGAGCCAGCCATGCTGAGGGGAAAGGGAGAGGTTTCCAAGCTGAGCCATGCTGGCTCAGGAATTCTGGGAGTTGAAGTCCACGAGTCATAAAAGAGCCAAGGTTGCCTACCCCTGCCCTAAACAAATGCCAGGTAAACCTCTTGGGGCATGTTCCACAAGTCCAGGTCTAATTTTGCTAACTTTGCATTCACATTTCATTTACCAGCCACAAAGATAATTCATGCAGTTTGTTCTACCACTGAGATTTTTTCAAATGTGCCTATTTTGGCTTTTGTGATTTCCATTTTTTTTCTAGCCGTAGCGATTAGGAATTTAAAAACTGGGGTGTAAAGATGTTATTCCATTACTGATGCCCCAAAGCCTTTGTTTCATAGGGGGGTGGTGTTTGGAGGTCCTCCAAAAATCACCAAAGAGCAATATCAAAGGGACAAACTTTCAAGGCTTTAAAATGAACACTCAAAGTTTCCATTTTTTTCTAGAAACAGGCTGCCGGTCAAAGCGGCTGACACAGCAACCGTGTAATTTTCCTAATGGCCAGTTTCTAACCAGGTTGCAATTTTGCCCTTCTATCTGGAAAGGTCTGAACAGGCTTCAAAGCAGTCCCCTATACAAGAGAGTATAATCTAACCGAGATTATTTTATATGCACAAATCCCCATCGGAGGCCCAAGCAGAAAAACATTCCAGAAAGCATTGCTAAGGCTTTCATGTCTGCAAACAATGAGTAAATTATAAATAGGAAGAAGATAATCACACTCATAATCCTTAAGCAAATGCTGTACAGCTACCTATTACTACAGCTTTAATTCAGTTTCCTATACAGAGCAGGGAGTTGGACTCAGTGGCTCCTTCTAATTCTATGATATTGTCATAAAGAAAGAAAAAAAGGGCTCAGCCACAGATGTTGCAAATTAAAGCAGTGGGATATTGTTCTACAAATACACAGCCATCCCGGTGATATTGTATACAGGCAGTCCCTGATTTAGGATTACAATTGTGACCAGAATTTTCGTTGCTAAGCAAGACAATATTAAGTGAGTCGTATCTGATTTTGCAATCTTTTTTTTTTTTTGCCATGGTCGTTAAACAAATCGTCGCAGTTGTTACGGGAATCAAATGATTGTTAAGTGAATCTGGTTTTCCCTATTGAGTTTGCTTGCTGGAAGTTGGCTGGGAAGGTCACAAATGGTGATCACATGACCTGGGGATGCAGCAGCCATTGTAAATACATGCCAAATTGTATTTGGTTACCCAAAGTCTGAAAATTAGAAATATCAAAGGTTGAATTGGAATATTGATAAGAAATCAAAAATTGAGTAAAAATCAATAACAGGATACGGATTGTTTATGAAGATTGAATGTAATTAAGATATGTAGAAGCTAAAAATTTATTGATAAATGTAATAATGATGTTCTTATTGAGTTGATATAATTAGAAATGTACTAACCTGAATATGAGACAGTAAATGTTATGGGGAAAAAAGAAAAAATATTTGATGCTGTAAGCTGAGATTTGCACTAAGATTTTGTTATTGAACTATTGATTAACCCAGTCACCACGTTGCTTTTTAAATATTCAAATGTCAAATTGGAAAATTAATAAAATATTATAAAAAATAAAAAATAAATACAGGCCAAATTGCCAAGCACCTGAATTTTGATCATACGACCATGTTATGATGGTCATAAGTGTAAGAACCGGTTGTAAGTCACTTTTTTCAGGGCTGTTGTCATTAAACAAGCGGTCGTAAGTCGAGGACTACCTGTAACTGGATCAAGACCGTCTCTCACTTCAAACAGCCAAATGTCCAACAGTCGCCCTTTTCTATTTTCTGGGAGATGGTTTAACTTGTTGCTTCAATTCCTAGACCTGCCCATCTACTGAGGGATTCAGGGCGGCTTATAGCAGGCGAAAACAATACAAAATATAATGTAAAACACTGCAACACATGCAGCAGCCAAGAGAGCACAGCAATCCAAAACAATATAGCATATCACAGAGGTCTGTCCTAATGCTGGTCTGAAATGGTATAGGGTTTCCTGCCTGAGCAGGGGGTTGGACTAGATGACCTCCAAGGTCCCTTCCAACTTTATTATTATTATTGCTTCAACCCACATGCCTATTTTGCGAACCTTTATTCTCTTCATTTTCAGCCAAGGCTTTCACACTGGACATGAGAATGTCATCGTATCCTAGGAATTCATCCAATAAAAGACGGCTGAATCTGTCTCCAAAGCACTGGTCCCGTGTGGGATCTGTAAGAAGAATTAAGGCAGGCAAAGTTAAATTACAGCAGAAAAGACCGACAGGCAGAATTTCACACACACACACACACACACACACACACACAAATGCAAAAAGTCTAACACAGTGTTCCTCAACCACAGTGACTTTTTGAAATGCGTAGACTACAATTCCCAAAATTGGGAGAAAAGGCTGGAAGAAGGAAAAAGCCTCCACTTTTCAGGGAGGGGGGGGTCAATTTGCAGACTTAAAACTATCTGAAATGGGTTGCCCAACATTTTCAAGGCAGAAACTGGCACTAAAAATGTATGTTTAAAATATCATAATCCTTATTGTATTATTAAATAAATAAGAGTGAAGGAAGACATGAGTGAGTCTTGGTCTTAGAGAAAAAAGGTTTGGTTTCAAAGAGTTAAGTCTGAATGAGGTAGCAATAGCTTATCCAAAATGGAAACTGAATGTCAGGAAAAATAGTTTTCAAAGGAACTGGGTAAGACTTTGAGCACATCTGAAATAAAATGGAAGTCTGATGACTGACACTTCCCTGGGTCCTAGAAAGTTTGATATCCATACAAACTGGAAAGAATTTTATCTTCCCATCTTTCCTTGGGAAAACTCTAGGCCAGTGATGGCGAACCTTTTAGAGACCGAGTGCCCAAAAACTGGCGCCGCCCCTGCTCCACCCCCTGCCCGCCCCCATCCCACCTGCCCGCAGGGCCACTCACCGCCTCCAGGGCCCGCCGCAGATCGCCCAGGCAGCACCATGGTGGCCACGCTCTCTGCCTGCGCCCCACAACATCAACTGCATGATGGGGCGTGAGGGCAGAGTCTTGTCTACGCTGCCTGGCTGCCATGTCCTTGGCTACGCTGCTTCACGTGGGCCACGCTTGGGGGCGACTCTCCTCCAGGGGGGCTGCTGGAGAGGAGGGGGTCATGGGGGGAGGCAAGGCTGGGGCAATGGCACGTGTGCCCACAGAGAGGGCTCCAAGTGCCACCTCTGGCACCCGTGCCATAGGTTCGCCACCACTGCTCTAGGACTAAAAATCTGCAGCAAAGTTTGCCTTTGCTATTTAACCCCAAGGATTAACTAATTAATTAACTAATCCCAACTGTTGCCTCAAATGTTTTTCGGACTGGTGGGCCCACTGAGAACTTTAAAAGTTATGGATCCCAGGAGAATAATAGGGGACACACTTCAAAAGAAAATAAAACATATTTCTTATTTGCTAAGGACACTTATGGGATTGTTTGGGGCCTAGAGATATTCCAAAAGTCATGTTGGAGGCTGGTGCTTTGTTTAGTAGCATGTCAGTTTTCTGTTTCTTTAGGGAAAAAAGAACATTTTGATAAAATATTAGCTAGGACAGGGGTAGGCAACCTTGGCTCTTTTTTGGCTCGTGGACTTTAACTCCCAGAATTCCTGAGCCAGTATGGCTGGCTCAGGAATTCTGGGCGCTGAAGTCCACAAGTCATAAAAGAGCCAAGGTTGCCTACCCTTGGGCTAGGATAAGGGTACCAGAGGTGTATGTGTGTGGGGGGGGGGGGGGCATTCTTGGCTACCATGTTTGGGAACCCCGTGACTAAAGAAGAAAATGCTGGCCTCCTCCATTCAGCAGCCTCATTTGCCATAGAATCAGGATTCCTATTTTTAATCTGGGCTCCCTCTTAGATTAGAAGATCAAATATCCATCAGCTATTTTAATTGTAAGGAAATTAACAATTTCTCTGTAAGTTTGGGAGCAATGAAATGCAACGAACAATCACTGGCAAATGCTGTGTTCCCAGATATTCACGGAGCATTAACTAAATTAGTAAGCCAAATGTTTAAACTAAAATAACATTCGTTCTAAAATACAGAAACGATTCTTAAGGCTAGGGGAGCCGATATCTTCCACTCTCCCTCCTGCAGAAAACCCCCCCCCATTTTAAAAGATGAATCTCCTGCCACTGAGATATTTCATTTTCATTTCTTTTCACTCACACTGAGTGCTTGCTGGCAGCATACATACATATCTGCAGCAATAGTCAAACAAAACCTGAAATGAAATATTATACTGTGGCAGTCTGATTATTAGTTTGATAACCCCTCCGTCTTGGTTTCCAAGCTTACGAGTTGCTTAACAGAATAACAGAGTTTGGAAGGGACCTTGGAGTCTTCTAGTCCAACCCCCTACTCAGGCAGGAAACCCTACCAATGTTTCTCAATCTTGGCAGTTTGGAGATGGATGGACTTCAACTCCCAGAATTCCCCAGCCAGCAAAGCTGGCAGCAAAACTGGCTGGGGAACTCAGGAAGTTGAATTCCACCCATATTCAAGTTGCCATGGTTGAGAAACACTTGCCTATACCAGGGGTAAGCAACCTTGGCTCTTTTATGACTCGTGGACTTCAACTCCCAGAATTCCTGAGCCAGCCATGCTGAGGGGAAAGGGAGAGTTTCCAAGCTGAGCCATGCTGGCTGAGGAATTCTGGGAGTTGAAGTCCACAAGTCATAAAAGAGCCAAGGTTGCCTACCCCTGGCCTACACCATTTCAGTGTTGCAGTACCCATAACTTCTGGAGGCTTAGCAATGGTTAAGAATGGAATGGTAAAATAGAAATTTACCCAGAGTCACCACCATGACAGGAATGCTCAGGCGCTGACGGGTGCTTTGGGATAAGCGGAGGAATCCGTACTCAAAGGAATATTCCACAATGTATTCTTCCTGCGGCCACACTACAAATACAGCCAAAAAAGAATTGTTTTAGGAGGCCAGGATAGAAGAAATAAAGACACAGTTTAGAAATGTTTATTCAAATGATACCGAAAATCAGAGTGATGTTAAAAAGGCACACTCTAATTGCATGGACAGGCAACGTTTTTTAAAGACTGAATTCTTTGTGTTTTATTGATTGATTTCTGTGCTTCTTTGGTGTGCATTTTTGAAAAAGTAAGCCCACTTCAATGTTTTTTCTGAACAGGATAGCAGGGTATAAATGTAATAAACAGATAATCGAGCTTTTAAAGTAGGGGTCTTCAAACTTGGCCCTTTTATGACTTGTGGACTTCAACTCCCAGAATTCCTCAGCCAGCCCTGACTGAGGAATTCTGGGAGTTGAAGTCCGCAAGTCATAAAAGGGCCAAGTTTGAAGAGCCCTGCTTTAAAGAATCCTGCTTTACTCTAAATGGTGCACATGAGCTAATTTTGCACTGTTAGGTTCCTTCTGCAAGCTCAGATTACTATTGGCCGTTCCCAAATCCTCACCCTACGGCAGGGGTAGGCAACCTTGGCTCTTTTATGACTCGTGGACTTCAACTCCCAGAATTCCTGAGCCAGTATGGCTGAGCTTGGAAACCTCTCCCTTTCCCTCAGCATGGCTGGCTCAGGAATTCTGGGAGTTGGTCCACGAGTCATAAAAGAGCTACCCCTGACCTATGGATATACTGGATAAGATCTCAGCATGGCAAACAGACAAATTTGTTGAAAGCTGTAGTCCTGGCATTTCTGGCACTCCAATGGTGGGAAAGACAGAGCAAAACTAACCAAGATTCTGTCTTTTTTTACTAAGTAGAAATGCAAACTGAGATCTGCACAAATTTCAGGTTAAATTTCAGACATAATGAGCCAGCTCTTTTCAGACCAGGTAAGAATGTAAACTTCTGATTTCAGGTTTGACTGGTCTTAACAAAAAGAATGAAATGTAAGAATAGCCCTGCTGGGCCAGGCTGTAAGCATCCATTGTGTCACCCAGCAGCATTTGAGAATTTCACAAGCCTGTACTGGAAAATAATACCCCCTTTCAGCAACTTGTATACAGGTAGTCCTTGACTGACAACCACAACTGAGCCCAGGATTTATATCACTAAGTGAGAAATTGGTTAAGTGAGTTTTGCCCCATTTTACAACTTTTCTTGCCACATTTGTTAAGTGAATCACCGCTTCCCCACTGACTTTGCTTGCCAGAAGGTTGCAAAAGGAGATCACGTGACCCCGGGACACTGCGACCGTCATAAATATGAACCAGTTGCCAAGCATCCGAGTGTAAATGACATGACCACGGGGACGCTACAATGGTCATAAGTGTGAAAAGTGATCATAAGACACTTTTGTCAGCGCTGCTGTAACTTCGAACAGTCACTAAATGAACTGTTATAAATCGAGGACTACCTGTGTGGTATTCAATGTGAGACACAGCATTTTATTTCCTCTGTCAAATTCTTATTTGAGGTGCCTAATAAGAATGGTTCAGCATAAAGGGAGGTGAAGAAATCTCCCTATAAGTGCTCTCAGGATACTAATAAATGGAGCCCAGACACAAATGACCCTCAAATATTACTTTCTTATCCAAAGCTGTGCCATTTTCTCTGTTGCAATACTGTTCCGCCTTCCATATGTGTCCCCCATCAACAAATGCAGCAGAAAAAGCTTCCGCATCATATAGATCAGGCATGTCAAACTCGCGACGTCACGTGACGTCGCGCAACGTATCGGGCCGGTTTTGTCATTGCCGGCAATGGGGTGGGCGCGGCTTCCACGTGACGCGTCCGGCCCACGGGCCGGCAGTTTGACACCCCTGATATAGATCCAACCGGCAGTCAGTCACAAGCCGAGGAGCTTTCTCTGGCAAGTCCACCACTTCCCCAAGGAAATTAGCCCACGTGCCAGTTTAGAAGTCAAGTTAAAATCTGTTCTTTTGGGAGGGAGCATAGAGTGAGTGGTAGATGGAGTGGGAAAACTCATGCCAAAAGAAAAAAGTGACTGATGCAAGGGGGAGAATGGAAAAAAAACCAACAACTACTACGTGATGTACAGGTGGAACAAGACGGGAAGTAAGAACAACGTAGCTTTACCTGCTTTGGCTAGCATCTCAAATTCGGACACAGTCTCGCTGAGAGGCTGCATACCTTTAGCGGTTGGCTCGCTGCCGAAGGAGAATTCTTGGCTTTCGTTGGGGGACAAAATGTGGGCATTACTCAGCCGAGTTGCCTTGTGGAAGATCTTGGGTTCGATATCCAGATCAAACTATCAATGAAGGGAGAGAAAAAAGCATACGGAGGAATTAATGAGGGCACAAAGAACATGGATGATGTTTTTGCACAGCAGAGGAAGTAACGACTCCTCAGCCCCCCAACCCCAATTTATTGACCTGTTAAAATGTTTTAACCAATCGCGGCTCAACTGATCTCTGGACAGCATATTATACTGGTAGTCCTCGTTTAGCAACTGACACAGAGAGTGACCCTTTGCAAACATGACAGTAATGAATGGTAATAAAAGATTCATTTTCCACCCAATGCCTGTATTGACTGCCATGTCAGTGTGAAACAGATTAAAGTCTGGTCAGTTTCAGGCAGAAGCTACCAGCTGGCACAGTTCTAATCACCTAAGTTAGTTTGCCCAGCTGAGTTTGTGAACTTTAGGGAACTTTATTTCTGTGTCGCAGAAATAAATAGCCCAGGAAGAGATAGTTTGTTTAAGTAATCCTTCTGCCCTGTCCAGGGGCAAAAATAGGAGAAAAACAGGTCAGGCATAGGACACTGTCTGAGAGAACTTTATCTGAAGAAAATGGCAGCAGCCAGTGATCTTTGCAGTCTCTCTCTTACATGTTTACTTAGCAACCATTTCACTTAATGACGGAGTCGTCAAAACCGAACAGTTGCTAAATAAAGACTACCTGTAAAACATAGTAAAATAGTGTAAAATCAAATATAGATAGTCCTCAAATTACGAGCACAATTCAGTCCATTTTTGTTGCTAAGTGAGATGTTTGTTAAGTGGATTTTGCCCCATTTTACAACTTTTCTTTGCCATAGTTGTTAAGTGAATCAGTGCAGTTGTTAAATTAGTAATATGGTTGTTAAATGAATCTGGCTTCCCCGTTGACTTTGCTCGTCAGAAGGTCGCAAAAGGGGATCACATGACCCCGGGACACTGCAACCATCATAAATGTGAGTCAGTTGCCAAGCATCTGAATTCTGATCACATGACCATGGGGATGCTGCAACGGTTGTAAGTGTGAAAAATAATCATAAGTAACTTTTTTCAGTGCCATTATAACTTTGAATGGTCACTAAATGAACTGTTGTAGGTCAAGGACTACCTGTACAGTGGTACCTTGGTACTCAACTGCTTTGAAAGTCATTGAAGTTGGTGCTCAATGCATTTTGACATGAAAATTTTGCCCTGGTACTCATTGTTTGTTTGGTGTTCAATACACAAGCTAGAACTTGTTGGTGTCAATTGCCTTGTGACTCACTACATCAGGAGTCCCCAACTATGAGCCGCAGCCCACTACCGCCCGCAGCACCATTTGCGCCTGCGTGCAGGCGCGAACTTGGCCACCAGCACTGGGCGGGTGTGCACGGCCCATTTGTGCATGCCTGTGTGCGTGCGTGCATGCATGCACACCAATTTGGAAGCTGCTCCTCTCTCCTCCAGGCTGCGAGCCCGGATAGGTTGGAGACCTCTGCACTACATTATTCCTTAAGCGAAAAATTTGTTTGGTATTCACTGTTTTTGGTACTCATCGCGCCTCCAGGAACCAATTAATGATGAGTACCAAGGTACCACTACAAAATGCAAAATGCAAACACCATGTAAACCAGGGGCCCCCAACCCCTGGTCTGTGGACCAGTACCGGGCCGCAGCATGCCAGGAATCGATCCGCACAAACAAGCAAAGCCTCATACGTGAGATGCAGGCAGCACACAAAACCACGCATTCTCCAGTCCGTGGAATAACCTCTCTCCACGGAACCGGTCCCTGGTGCCCAAAAGGTTGGGGACCTCTGATGTAAACTATTCTTCATGCAGAAAAGGGGAAAGATAACGCAGAGGACAAATCTACCATTTTGATCGTATTGCAGGTTGTCCTTTAGCGTTGGAAATTGAAAAAGTAATGGTAACACCACATTGGTTTTTCAATCTCTTCTCTCCAGTCTTATCGGAAGGAATATATTGGAATTACGTGAAGAAAAGGAAATGAAATTAAAAAGTAAATTGAGTTCAATCAGTAAATTCCTCCCAAAGGAGGCTTTCCATTCAGAGGTAGGTTTTTGCCATACAAGACAAGCCCTTATTAGGCTCAAACCAACCCTTGATGTACTTTTTCCTCACACAGGATGAGATCAGATAGTATGTTAAAGGAATGTATGCTGACTCTGGAGATCTTGCAACAAGCCAGAAGAAAGAAGACCAACAACCATAATGAAAAACAGACAGGTTTTTCATTATGGTCACAAACTACAAGTAGCAGGTACAGACATAAGCAACTTTAAGTGAACTACAAGGTTGGAGACGAAGGAAAAAAAAGAGATCAGTTAAGCACCAACAACGTAAATAATAACACCAACAAACAACATCTTTCTATTCCAAGTCCCTGGAAAGAACTCAATAGGTAGATAAAAATGACAAATCCAGTCTAAACAACTAGCTGATTATGTGACCAACCATAATAAATTAAATAAAATTAATTAAATGTATATGATTCTGATTACCCAGAAGTTGAGTTATGCTTTTCAGTACCAGAACACAGTAAGAGACTGAAGCACTAACGTAGCATAATGGGGGTAGGTGGGTGGGTGGGGGGTGAGTGTGTTGTCCTGCATCTATACATAATCAAAAAGAGGAAAAGTGGACTCTGAAGTTTTCCTCACTCTATAAATCAACGAGGTGCCAAATGAACAAGAAGCAAATTAATTCTCCATGCAAGTATCATCTAAATGAGACGTGTGCATTATAAAGGCATTCCTCGCGCTCCTCAAATCTCACCGGATGTAAGCATCTATGTAATATGTGTCTTGAAGCTTTGTTTAAGTTAATGTGCACCTCAATTATGTAAATTAAAGAGAATTTGCACATATTCCTTCCCCTGCGTAATTCATTACCCAGTTTAAACCTGCTTCTGAGATTTAGCTTAATTCAGCAAATCCTCTGGTTCCCGGTTTGAATAGGGATTGCCAAAGCAATTACAGGTACCTACAGAGCAGAATTATATACGCCCCTTTTAAGCTAAGCTTCTATTGTTCTCAGCGTGTTCTGCAGCTTTTTTGTATTTTATGGGTAGAAGGAGATCATATTATCAACCATCTTCCCATCAGAAGATTTAGATTTGTGCTTGCAAACCCAAATTAGCTGCAGGAAATGGTGAGCGTTAAAGACATCACAAAGTCTTTAACTTCGGGGAGAGCATGGTAAACTAGCAGGTCTCCAAATGGTCAGAGATAATGACCATGGCTACTTAGACTGGTTCTACAAAACCTCTCCAGATAAGGAGAGGATGGAAAGTTACTTTTAAGCCAGGCGAGGCCTGGCTTAAAAACAGCAACTGTGAGAGGGACCTTGGAGTCCTAGTGGACGATCACTTGACGATGAGCCAGCAGTGTGCAGCAGCAGCCAAAAAAGCTAATACAATCCTGAGTTGTATAAACAGAGGCATAGAATCAAGATCACGCGAAGTATTAGTACCGCTTTATAAAACCCTAGTAAGACCACACTTGGAATATTGCAGCCAGTTTTGGTCACCATATCACAAAAAAGATGTTGAGAGTTTGGGAAAAATTAAGAGAAGAGCAACTAAGATGATCAAAGGCCGGGAGACTAAAACATACGAAGAACGGCTGCGGGACTTGGTTTGGCTAGTCCAAAGAAAAGAAGAAATAGGGGAGAGATGATAGCAGCGTTCCAGTATCTGAGGGGCTGCCACAAGGCAGAGGGGGCCAGGTTGTTCACCAGAGCACCAGAGGGAAGGACAAGAAACAATGGTTGGAAACTGATCAAGGAGAGAAGCAACCTGGAATTAAGGAGAAACTTCCTGACAGTGAGGACAATCAACCAGTGGAACAGCTTACCCCCAGAAATTGTGGGCGCTCCATCACTGGAGATTTTTAAGAAGAGACTGGACATTCACTTGTCTGAGATGGCTTGAGCAGGGGGCTGGACTAGAAGACCTCCAAGGTCCCTTCCAGCTCTATTCTATTCTATTCTCTCCTGTGGTTCGGATGGCTACCATTCGCAAGCGGACTGCAAGATGGTGATTTCCCATAGGTTTGAGCTCAAGGAGAAGAAGAAAACCCACAACATCTCACAACTGTGATAGAGCCTTTTAAAGGACATCAGGCTCACTCATTTTGAAATCACTTTCAGAAATTGACTATTTAACATTTTAGGGTTATTAGAGATCTTCAGAGCCAGCGAGTTAGAAAAACTATGTGGTGCTAGAGCAGGGGTCTTCAAACTTGGTTCTTTTATGATCTGTGGACTTCAACTCCCAGAATTCCTCAGCCACAAGTCATAAAATGGCCACATTTGAAAACCCCTCTGCTAGAGCTTCCATTCTTGAAAAAAAGAAAACCCTAACCATAACCCTAACCATAAGCTCAAGTGTTTAAAGAATTGGACTACATGGGGAAAACTAAATAAGACTTTGATTCCAGGAATGAATTAAGGGTCCAGATAAATGTAAAACATTAAGACCTTAATAATAAGTTTTGGAAATAATGATATAATAAACAGCCTTTTAACTTTGGCTTTCTGTAGTTTTTTTTTTTATGTCTGTTAGCTTTGTCTTTATCTTTTATGATTGTAAGCCGCCTGGAGTTATCCTGAGGTAAGATGGGCGGCCAGTAAATTTTACAAGTAATAAGTAAATAAATAAATTTGTAGGAACTAAACTGCTTTGTCCATCCTGAGTAATAAAAGAGATTTGAGACTTTATGATTACAGAAATTGCACACCAGAGGGAACTGAAGATTTCAGGCCGCAAAGGAAAAGGGAAAAAAAAAAAGTGAAACCTTGCATTTTGCTTTTTGTTAGCACTGGGATTTGTGAAATGACACAAAGTGTTATGACATTTAAAATATCTGAGGGGATTTTTAAAGAATGAGCTCAGAAATTAGCAGCTACATCAGCAATGATCTGCGTCTATGAATAGACTACATCCAAAAGACGTTAGCAAAGAAATTATAAGATGTGAGGGGGGAAAAAAAGCCTAATGTAGAAATACCAGAACCAGAAATACTGGGTAATTTTTAAAAAGTATGTATTATAAGACAGAGAAGACAGTTAAAAGTAGAAATACAAATGCTAAGCAATGAGAATGACCTAGATCCGGAGTCTTCAAACTTGGCCCTTTTGACTTGTGGACTTCAACTCCCAGAATTCCCCAGCCAGGCATGCTGGCTGAAGAATTCTGGGAGTTGAAGTCCACAAGTCATAAAAGGGCCAAGTTTGAAGACCCCCTGACCTAGATAAGGACTTTCTACCATGTATACAAAAAATCTTGGTTAAAGCTTTGAAAATCAAACTAGAAATATAAATGATAAACCAAGAGAAGTTGTTGACAAGAACAGAGCTCCGATGCAGTGGGGATGCAGTGAAAGGGGAAATGGGCGAGCAACACCAAAAGTCATGTGTATGTATTTATTTCATTAAAAGTATCTTATATATAAGAATGTAAAAAGAATGTATGTTAATATCTGATAAATATCACGGTATCTGTATGGGGGAGAGTTTGGAAAAATAAAAAATAAATTTTTTTTAAAAAAAGCAGAAAAGAAAATGGCAAGGACAGTCATAGGAATATGAAGCAAGATTGAAAGGTAATAAACCCCTAAAGTCGGAGAACTTCCGAATGACCAGCAGTGATTTCAGTGAAAATCTTGAGGAACACTTTCCTTTAAAAATTATTCTTCAAAGAAACATTGGAACAAATGCAACGTATTCAACATGGCAGAGTAATCCTCAGCAGTGTAAAAGTAGTGAAAAATGCATCCAGATCCTCATTTCATATTATAGCAGGCACCTATTAAAATATACACTTAATTTCTTCCTTAAAAAAAAAAAAAAAAAGAACAGAGCTCCGAGATAGACAAGTTATCACAGGGCTGGCATGTGTAGGAATTCCTTGTTTGCCTTGTGACCCCAAGGCTGAATCAATTAAGCAATGTCACATGCTGGAGTCTAGTCACAGCACCTGCCCTCTTGAGCACCATCCCTCGGACGGCTGGTCTCCACCTTGGCCAGGTTCCTATGCTCTGAAAACCTGTCCTTGGGTTAGAATGGGTGGCAGCTCCTACATGATGTCTCTTTTGCCTTTTAATGGTCGTTATTTCTTCCACGTATTATATGACTGATTTTACAGTACTGTATATACAGTAGTGGCCAAAAATGTGGAAACCTTTTGAAAAAAGTGTATTTTTGAGGTTTGATGACTAATAACACTACTTTATTTTTGGAGTAGTACCATAAAATTATATATCAATGGAAAGATAATTTAATCAAGAATGCAATGCAACATAGTTTGTTCAATTATCTGTGCTGCATTCTATGAAAAGTTATAGCCAAATAACCAGAAAAAGGAAGCACAATTTGCTTAGGTTGATATCAGGTAGGTTTCCTTCATCTGATTGTAGCCAATGAGCATGAGGTTTAAGAGAGCCAATCGGGTGTCATCTTGTTTTGGCAATGAGCCAATCAGATCACAGTAGGATTCCGTTATTGATGTCACGTATTGAAGCTGAGAGGAGGACGTTTGTCAGTGTGTGATGTGATCGCTATCCAGTTGGTTGGGGTTTTTTTGTGTTCTTTCATTGAGTGAGCTTGTAAAACGTAATAAAATTAAAGTCATGGTGCAAAGAGTTGACTGGTCGCCCAGAAAGCGATGGAAAATAGTATTATTACGTGAACAAGGCTACAGTTATAAAGAAATTAGAAGAAAAATGGGTGGAAACTTAACCAAAGGTGGCATTTCTACTGTACACTTTTCCCCAAAGGTTTCCACAATTTTGGCCACTACTGTAGTACTGAGCAGCCTTATACAGGTAGTCCTCGACTTACAACCACAATGGAGCCCAAAATTTCTGTTGCTAAGTGAGACAGATATTAAGTGAATTTTGCCCCATTTTACGACCTTTCTTGCCACAGTTGTTAAGTGAATCACTGCAGCTGTTCAGTTAGTAACAGGGTTGTTAAGGGAATCAGGCTCCCCCACTGACTTTGTCAGAAAGTTGCAAAAAGTGATCACGTGATCCTAGGACATTGCAATGGTCATAAATACGAGGGTCTGAATTTTGATCATGTGACCAGGGGGAGGCTGCAATAGTCCTAAATGTGAAAAATGGTTAGAAGTCACTTTTTTCAGTGCCATTATAACTTCAAACAGCCACTAAATGAACCGTTGTAAATTGAGGACTACCTGTACTGTACATTTCTAAAATGCATACATAAATAACTAAAATTATCCTGTATTTCTTAGTAGAATGCTCTGGAGCTGCAATGGTTCTTTGTCTGCTATAGTGAGACTGTTAATTTACTGTTTCTAAACTTCTAAATCATTACAGTTTGTGGGTTTTGTTTTTTTTACAAAGGGGAGGTTGGAAATACTATCATTAAATAGCGCCTTCCAAGATGAGTCATAGAATCAGATGCAGAAAAAAAGCATTTTCAAACCAACTTTTAAGAACCAAGAGCGGTCTGTTGGCAGCCATTATTTACAACAGCTAAATTTAACCTGTATTTAGAAGTACAGAACTAGGAGGATCAGTTAATCCCCGTTTGATGCAGGACCCCAAATCCATTTACCTTTGATAGATGATCTTTTGGACTTAGGTTTAAATACACATAGCAACAAACAGCCTATCACCTCTTAAGGCAATTTCTGTTTCAGCATTGCACAGTTCATTCGGGGAGGATATTTCTCCTAACGTTCTTCAGACATTTCCCCGAATCAACTATTCACTGGTTCTAGATCTGCTCTCATTCCTTACACGTGAGAGCTTTACAGATGATCTGAGGACAAAATGTCACCTTCCAGGGTGCCTTTTTATCAGGCTAAATATTTCACAACTCACCATCCTGGCTGCCCTTTTTTCAATGAAAGTTTGACAAGAGTCATTCTTTTTTAAAAAACAACAGCAATGGAGGCAGTCTATCTTTTAAAGCAGGGGTCCTCAACCTTGGCCACTTTAAGACTTGTGGACTTCAACTCCCAGAATTCCTCAGCCAGCTTTGCTGGCTGAGGAATTCTGTGGGTTGAAGTCCACAAGTCTTAAAGTGGCCAAGGTTGAGGACCCCTGCTTTAAAGGAACCACAGCTGTAAGGGGACAGCCCCTTCTGATCTTTTCTGTGGAACTGGATCGGCTACAAACTGGAAACTTGGAACTGAATCAACTGGACAATCTGATTCAACATCTCTTATCAGAGAAGAGCAACAAAGATGATTAGAGGACTGGAGGCTAAAACATACAAGAATATATATTTATTGTGATTTTTATTATCGCCTATTCACCGCCCTGAGTCCCGTAAGGGAGATAGGGCGGTATACAAATTTAAATAAACATAAACATAAACAAACATACAAGGAACGGTTGCTGGAATTGGGTATGTCTAGTTTAATGAAAAGAAGGACGAGGGGGCACAGGATAGCAGTCTTCCAATATCTCAGGGGTTGCCACAAAGAAGAGGGAGTCAAGCTATTCTCCAAAGCGCCTGAAGGCAGGACAAGAAGCAACGGATGGAAACTAATCAAGGAGAGAAGCAACCTAGAACTAAGGGGAAACTTCCTGACAGTCAGAACAATTAACCAGTGGAAGGACCTGCCTACAGAAGCGGAAAAAGCATCATCATTAACAAAGCAACTCATTCTTCTCCCTCACGGTACCTTGATGGAGCTATTCTCAAACATCTCCACGGTCATTTCTTCTTCCTCCTCCTCCTCCTCCTCTGACCCAACAGCAGGCTCAACCACCATGCCTGGAAACCTCTCACTCTCGCAGAACTGGAGGAAAACGGGGTTACGGCTGGAATTGCGCTGGATCTCAACTCGTAGGATGCCGTCCCGTGGCCATTTATCCCGGACGTGTTCCAGGCAGTTGATGGGGGAGCGGGAGAAGGTGATGTGAATGTATGCCAGAATGAAGAGGACAAAGAGAGCCTGAGAGACAGAGAAATAACAAATTACAACAAGTGCAGCCTCCCCGTCTCCCAAGCCTCTGCAAGATAAATACGAACGCTCCATCAAGCTTCCCTTCTATAAAGGAACCTGATTACACACCGTGTGTCATATTTTTATTTATTTATACCCCACCTTTATTGTTTTTATAATTAACTCAAGGTGGTGAGCTCCTTCCTCCTATTTTCCCCACCAAAATACCCTGTGAGGTAAGTTGGGTTGAGAGAGAGACTAGCCCAAAGTCACTCAGCTGGCTGTCAAGCCTAATCTGAGACTAGAACCCAGAGTCTCCTGGCTTCTAGCCTAGCGTCTCAACCACTGCACCAAAATTATAAATAAATAATAACATAATAAAATATAAAATAAATGGGGGGGGGGAATATAAAATAGTTAAAACTTGGCTCAGTTTGGGTTCTGGCTCCATGCACCCTCCATCCATAATTGCCTTTTCCCATGGACTAAAGTTCTTTCAAAGGTTTTCCATTCTGAACCAGTTTCTAGAAGGAAGACGGCATCCTCCCCTCCTTCCCAGCCAGCCCACTTCATTTCTGAGCAAAAGGGTAGAGAGGGTTTCTTCCTTTGTAACTCCAGGTACTCCTCGAGTTACGGCCACAATTGACCCTGCTAAGCATTCTAAGCATTGCTTAGCAAGATAGTTGTTCCGTGAGTTTTGCCCCATTTTACGACCTTTCTTGCCACAGTTGTTAAGTGAATCGATGGGAGTTGCTAAGTTAGTAGCATGGCAGTTAAGTGAATCTGGCTTCCCCCACTGACTTTGCTTGTCAGAAGGTCAAAAACACCTGAGCCCAGGACATGGCAACCATCATAAGATATATGCCAGTTGCCAAATGTCCTAATTTTGTTCACGTGACCAAAGGGATGCTGCTACATGTCATTAAGTGTGAAATGGATGAGATAGATAGATAGATAGATAGATAGATAGATAGATAGATAGATAGATAGATAGATAGATAGATAGATAATGGATGATAGATAAAATAGATTAGATAATGGATGATAGATAGATAGATAGAGATAGAGATAGAGATAGATTAGATTGATAGATTGATAGATTGATAGATAGATAGATAGATAGATAGATAGATAGATAGATAGATAGATAGATAGATAGATAGATAGATAGATAGATAGATAATGGATGGATGATACAGACAGACAGACAGACCTTTATTGTCATTTTTTCCTGTGGGCACAATGGCACACATTAAAAATGAAATTTAGTTACTTGCTCTCAAAGTGTACACATACATAACACATTTAAAACATACTATATACAACATATGTATAGACCTACATCCTTACATATAAGTAACATCTAAATATTATTCGCTGTCCATCTTGAATACATAGCGGAAGGAGGAAGCTTTAGAGTTCACAAGGTTAAGAACCGTCACTAAACAAAGGTTGTAAATCGAGGACCACCTGTATTCCAGAAATTAAGCCAGCTGCCATGATATGTTTCCGTTCATCATAAGCTATTCTGCACCATTAGGTAAAATCTCAATCAGTTGAGCTTGATTTCTGGTGACTTACATCAGGCAGTTTCCTTGGCAACAGCTCATAAAGCAGCCCTTGCCACCTTCTCGGATTTTGTTTTACCACCTGGTCCAGTTGTTGGCCCTGGACCTCCCAGCCGTTCTGCCTCCAAATATCTAGAGGGGCTGCCCCTGTTTTGCTTTCTACCTCAGTCAAGGTCAGCTAGTACTGCCAGATGGCTAGGCAGAGCCAGATTATGAGAAGGCAACTTTAAGATAGCAAAACAAAGCAACAACAATCAGCCTGCTAATGCAGGTTTTCAAAAGCATTTTTCTTCCTGCTTTACTATGGAAACATGGATTAGTGTCCTTCTGGGAGAGTAATAAACCATTTTTATAGCCTGGTAACTTTATGGAGCTTTTTAAAACTAACCCACAGAAATTATCTCCTTCTTGCTCTTCTGGGAGTTCTAAACATATCGTGTTAGCTTGTTATAATCCTTACAATGGTCCCCTGTGGCAGACCAATACCACTGCCTTCAAACTGCAAATGAATGAGGCTCTCCAATTCAAAGAAGATGGCAAAACATATCCAAAACATTTTATGATCCTCGGGAACAAAGGGCTTTAAATTATAGAGCTGTAAATGCCACGGCAAGAAAACACACAGCCCTACTAATTTTAAAGACACTGAGCTAGTCAGCTGGAGAGCTGGCAGTTCGGGTTTGAGACCCAAGTACCACACAAAGGGGTGAGCTCCTGTTACTTCCCCCAGCTCTTGCCCACCTCGTAGTTCGAAAGCATGGAAATGCGAGTAGATAAATAGGCACCACTTCAGTGGGAAGATAACAGGGTTCCATGGCTTATAGCCACGCTAGCCACATGACCCTGGAAATTGTCTTCGGACACCGCTGGCTCCCTTGGCCAAGAAACAGAGATAAGCACAGTGCCCTAAAACTGGAAATGACTGACAGGGAAATTTTTACTAATTAGGTTATAGTAAAATTAAGGCAGAGAACTGAAGAACTAGCAGAACCTTAAAGAAGTTCTTTTAGCCTGGTATTTTCCTGCAAGTTTATCAACAACCTGGATATAAAAGTGAAGCCAATCTTTAACAAAGTTGATACTGAGTTTGGTGCATTTCTCACTGCTAACACCTCGGAGCAAAAGAACTAAAACTGGACCAAACATATTCCACAAAGGCATATACAACTGATATGTATAACATACATACATACATACATACACATACATACATATATATATAAGCATACATATACAATGGTGAGTACGTGGCGTGATTGCATTAGATGTAAAGAGAGTTTTGAAATGGTAGCTGATCAGAGGCTGAACAGGGGCCCACAGTGGGGTGTAACTAGAAAAAAGACTAGCATGAATTTAGGAAATATTATAATAGAAACACCACGGGAAGTTACACTTTATTCCTCACAAACTTCTCACATGCAGGTACTGCTCTAGACAAACCATTTTCCCTTCAGCCTTAGCTTTTTCTTTCCCATTTGTTAAATGAAGATAATAGTGCCATACTTTTGCGGGGTACAAAAGTAACAGAAAAAACATGATAGCTAAAACAACAGAGGATACACTATGTAATACACATATATATATACACACACACAAACATATATAAAATGATACAGTACAGAACATGTACTGCATGCAGAGCAAAACTGAGGGAGATTGATGGTTGAGAAATATGAAGTATAAATGAATAAAAGACAATTTTTAAAGCTTGAATAAAATGAATTCATCCCCATGGTTCTTAAAAAGATTACAGGATAGTCTGGGTAACACCTAGCACAAGAAATCAAAGTTAAGCACTGGGGAAGTTTTGTAAATCTGAATAGATGTATGTGCAGGAGGCCTGTGGAGGAGGGGGCATGGAGAGAATAATCTATCACGAGCCAATAAAATATTCTCCAAGGGAAAAAATGACCCACCCCCCACCTCAAATCTGTAAAGGCTAAAACTTTTTTTTTCATAAGCTTTGGTGAGCATTCAAACATTACTGACTCTATTCCACACCAATATGAAAATATAGAGATACAAGGGAAATATGTCTCCCTCTACCCCTACACCATTACCTTAAGGAGTATGAAGAATTCAAAGATGCGACGGAAAGATGATGGGAAGAGGCGGGCGTAAGTGACAGCCATTTTGAAGAAAAGGGCATGGAAGAGGCGATCCCGAACATTGATGAGAGGGTTCTGGTTGAGATTGCGGACCCCTCGGTTATTGCCAGCGGGGGCCCCACCCACCCCATTATTGTTCATTGGATGATGGGTGTTGTTGGGTTGATTCTCTGACATCTTGAGTTGGCGAAGGTGCACAGAGGGTTGATAGGGATGCTTTCAAAGGCTTCTCTTGCAGTCTTCTCTTAGAAGAGTTTGACTCCAGTTTCCCACATATAAATTTAATTTCAAGGTACTAAGCAAGTCTGCTGATCGGAGAATGCACTTAAGCAATAAATTCACCTCCCAAACTGGCACAGGGGGGGGAAAAACCCAGAAAATAGCTATCCCACAACAAAGTAGCCCATAGTCTGAATTAGAAGACAAATGGTCCTTAAATGGATTGACATGAAAGATGCACTAATTTGGAAACAACTAAGAAAGGGTTAGTAGCTCAGCAAGAGGTGAACAGATGGGCGAACTGATCAAACCCCCTGTAAGAGTCCTTGATGGTAGGAAGGCGAACCTCAAAGAGGACCTAAAAGTGCTTCGGAGTTAGTTAGGGAAGGCAAATAGCATGAGGAGAATCCAGAAAAAACTGGCAGCAGATTTGCCTCTCCCAGGGGACCAAGGTGTTATCAGTCAAAATGGGGGAAAGTAAGAGATTCAAGGTTGAACAGATCAGGGATGCCAGAACCCCCAAAGAGTCCAAAGATGGGATTGTGGACACGACTATTCAATTGACAGAAGAGGGATTCGGCAAGATAGGGAAGGAAGCTGTCAAATCACAAGGGGGGGGGGATAGGAATTACGTTGGGCAGAAAGAGGAACTTTGCCAGGACAAATTAGAGAAAGGGGAGAGACCGTTCTCGGGGGATGACATTGGGGGCGGGGGGGGGAGCCTGCGAAACTTCTATAATCTCTTTATTTAAACGGGGGGAATTGGTGAACCCCACCAATTTCTAACAGAGGAATCTGAGGCAGGAGGGGGGAAAGGTAAACAAAGGGGAGATGCTCTGAAGACTCAATTTTTCTTGGAGGGGGGAGAAGGCAAAGAAGAGCCCTTTGCAATCTTCTCGGGAAAGGGGAAAGGGGGGGGCAAGCTTCAAAACGGAGGCGCTTAATTTGGGGAAGAAAAAGGGTCGTCAGAAGAAGCGGAGAGGATGGAAGGGGGGGGGAGAGAAGGCCAGCCCACCAAACTTCAGGGTAAGGGAGGAAGTGGGGGCGACCCGTTATTGAGAGGGATATTTTACCCCCCTCCCGCCCCCAGGAAGGGAAGAACAGCCTCGAAGGAGGGAAGAGGAGGAGAAGGAAGACAGGGAGAGCCCTCACCCAGCCCTTCAGACGGGCCCGGTCAGGAGGAGGGGAAGCAGCGGCCCCCCCCAAAAGCAAAAAGGGGCCGTTGGGGAGAGAAAGAAAAGCTGGGCCGCGTCCTCTGGCCTCCGCCTCTCAGTCCACCTTCGCGTCCGTCCGGGCCACCGCCATGTTGATAGCTCGCTTCCCCTTTCCTTCCCCCCCTCCCGCCCCGCAGCACCGATGACGTCAGCCGGGAGCAGGCAGGGCGGAGGAACTCCGAGCGAGGCGAAAAGCATCCTGGGAAAGACAAGGGGGAACTAGAGGAGCTCGGAAAGGGGAGCGCAAGAAGCGGGCTCCAAAGGGGTACGGTTAAGAGGATTTAAGAAGCACTTCCGGTATCTGATTGACAAATAGTTTAAAAAAAAAAATTCCCAAAAAGCACCCTGCAGCCGCAAGCCAATACCTGGATTGGCAAGTAGGAACAAAAGTTTTAAAAGTTTCCTTTTTATCTTCCCTTCTTTAACCTATCCATGCTGATGGAACTCTATTTATCGAGTTTCCACCTTCTCAATTAGTATCATATATAATTAGGAGGGTTTTTGTCCCAGGAGAAATCAAAACTGTTGATCTTGGCAGCAATATTATTGCATCGTGGAAATCTTCATTTACGCAGATACTACTGTGAAGTAGTCACCCTTCACTGGGTTATAGAACAAGGTGCCTTCAGCCCAGCAATGTTGGTTAATTGTTGCCTCCTTGATTTCACATTTTACGTTTTGTTCTTACCCCCTTTGAACCGCACATGGAGGATTCGGCCTGCGACGATCCCAAACCACAGATGCTAGATTCCGGAAACGCTTGACATTTTTACTTACCTCTTTGTCCTCATATTTTCCCACCCAATGCCGGAGTTACGCCCCTTGATTTCCATAACCCGACCTTGCCTTTCATCCTCCTTGGAAATACAGTTTGTTCTGAATTTTATAAAATATATATTCGAAACTTCGAGTTGTAGAGACGGCACAGCTTGTTTTGAGTTAGTACAAACCAGAACTTTTTTTAAAAAATTACATTTGTGCTCATCATATCTTACAATATTACGCAATCATAAGCTTTATATAGCTTTCAAGAGGACCTTTAGTTTGTGCTCGCTTCGGCAGCACATATACTAAAATTGGAACGATACAGAGAAGATTAGCATGGCCCCTGCGCAAGGATGACACGCAAATTCGTGAAGCGTTCCATATTTTGATGCCTTTTTCTCCTCCCTCCCTCCCATTTATGACTGTTGCTGTTGTTTCTGTTGCTACTTTTTGCAATGTTATCTGTGGCTTTGGAAAATATTGCAGACATCATTTCATCTATTCTAAACCACAGCAGCAGCAGCAGCATTTTCAGCTCTCTTTATAAAACGAAACTTTTGTAGTTTAGAACATGCAGTCGTCCACGTGGCTTTGCTGGATTTGAGCAATGCATCCTTGTTATGCATTGAAATATATAAAGTAGTGTTAAGGCCCTGTAAAGTGAAGCTAACTTTTTAGAATGATCCTGACTGTTAACTCACAACTGTTTTGCAGGGAAACTTTGAACATTTATATTCGGGCTGGCTTTACAAGTTTTGTGATTGGCTAAGGCCCTGTGTGGGTCAGAGTGTAAATTACAGGAAATTGCCTGCAGTTCTCCAGTTCCAGTTTGAGTCAATAAATAATGTGCCGGTCTGCTCCTTGTCTAATGAAGCCTGTTGTGTCCTGAGCCTGCAGGAGCAGGCTCTGGACAATGCAAGAGTCCCGGGCATTTGCAAAAGCTGCCCGGGACCAGACTGAGCGGCGCCGGCCTTGCGCACATGCACAAGGCGGGAAAAGACTGCCTGCTATTGGTTGGAATTGCCCGGGGATCCAGGGGTATAAATAGAGGCCTGTGTGCCTCTGTTTTTGTTGGTTGTTAGCTGTAAGAGAGTGAGAGTAAAGGTCTGTTAGCAACGTGCATTGCCTCCTTCGCCATTATTCTCCGGACTTAACAAAGCCCACTACACAATAGTGGCCACGAAGGTGGGATAGCTGCAGAGGAGAGAGCTGCTGCTAAACAAGAGACTAAAATCACTGGATGTCATACTAGGTAAGGAGCCCTGGTGGGATGGTTGGAAACGTGATTAAAATACCAACAAAATTGGATTGGTAAGAAAAAGAGTTTATTCTGCAGAAAATAGAAAAGCGGTTTGCAAAGCGCGGTGGATCCTGGTGAGAGACTTCAACAGGAAGTTCTAAACCCAGAGACCGCACAAAAATATTCAAACTCATAACATTATATACACTCCTATCGCGACGCCCCCATCCCCTCCCCTTAGGTCCCATTTGAGAGGACTTCCGGGGGCACAATCTGTCCGATCCGCCTAGCCAGAATACATCATCCCTCCCCCTCAGTTACATTGTTCAGAACTTCTCTCTGCCATCCTTTTGTCTTGTTAAGTGTGTCTTCTAGTCAAGCCTCCTGAAACCTAGTGCCTACAGTGCAGGGCTTGGCTAATCCTTCTATTGTTAATCAATTGTGACCGTTTTATTTTTAAACTTCTTCCTTTCTCACAGGATCACGCTCCGCAGCCGGCCTGCCAGTAAGACACACTGGAGGCACAGACATACCTGAGGGATCTGTCCCCAGGACTCCTAAGTGCAGCACAGCTCCAACCACAGCAGTACAGGCATTAACCAGCACCACAGGAGCCTCCCCAAAATGGCTGAAGCGGGAAGTAATATCGACGAGTTCGATATTACTCATCCGGAAAAGTGGCGCTCATACGTCTCCCAAGTAGACAACTATCTCCAGGCTAACCAGATCACAGACGATGGCCTGAAGGCGGCCACCTTACTACTTGTCTGCGGAGAAGCCACGTTTGATATCGCGGAAAGCCTGATAGCACCGGCAAGTATAGAGACTGTGGCCTACGCAGACCTCAAGAAAAAATTAAGGGGACATTTTGAACTTTTTGAACCTAAAGTCTCAGTAATCGCCCGGCGCTATGCATTCCAGCAACGTGAGCAGAGATCTGGGGAATCTGCAGCAGAGTTTGTGGCAACCCTTCGCCAAGCTTCGCGTCAATGCAAGTTCCCTGACCTGGAAGACCGTCTCAGAGACAGGCTCGTTTGCGGCCTGCGTAATAGAGAATTACAGCAGCGCCTATTCGCCATGGAGAAATTGACCTTCCAGGATGCATTGAAGGAAGTCAGGGCGGATGAGGCTGCCAGACGGGCAATGAAGATTCTTTGGCCACCTAAAACACGCACCAGGCCCACAGCGATCCACCAAGAGACCGCAGAAGGCTCGGGGGAGGCCAGTGAGAGTGAAAAAATCAATCGTTTGCGGAGAGAGCCACCGAGACGGTCACACTCCACAGAGCAAGCAACTTCCCCACAGAGCTGCGCAAGCTGCGGGGGACAGCATGAAAGAGCCGAGTGCAGATTCTGCACCGCAGTATGCCATGCCTGTGGAAAGCAAGGGCACATAGCCAGAGTATGCAGAGGTCGTCAGCGGGAAGTTCGGGTTACCAAGATCTCCTCCTTGCCTCCTCTCAAGAGGAGACCAGGTCCACAGGTCAAGGTCCAATTAGATTGATTTATTGCTAAAAAGCCTTTGAACAGGAATAGGACATGCTTGGAGTGAGATAAAAGATGAACAGGATAGATAGATAGATAGATAGATAGATAGATAGATAGATAGATAGATAGATAGATAGATAGATAGATAGATAGATAGATAGATAGATAGATAGATAGATAGATAGATAGATAGATGGTAGATAGATGGTAGATAGATGATAGATAGATGATAGATAGATATAGATAGATGATAGATAGTTAGATATAGATAGATGATAGAT